GAATGAACATGGTCTGGATAGCCCACAGACACACCATAAAAATTTCTAGGACCCATAATTGGTCTCCTTTAAGTTTCAAAACAACCTGACTCTTATCACAGTTGTATTTGCACTGCTGCTCAATTTCTGTCAGTCTCTGTGCCAGGAAAGTTTGTATTTATTTCCTCCTTTGCATGTAGAGCAAATATCTTGCAAGTCTTGCAGGCTTTTATTTATTTATTTTTTTCACGTTRATGGAGTAAACACCAGTTGCACATTCGGGTGGTCATAAAATCAGACCAGCTGATCATCAGAGCTGTTCATCTTTTTAATTTAACTGGGAATGGATCATTTCRGCTAAATATCGAACAGAAAGAAGCGCAGCTCGGAGCGCTGTTGTAACCCGGAGCTGTTTAACATGAAGAGAAGCTACTAGCTTGTTAGCTTGCTAGCCTGCTAGCCGCATTGTCGGCTCTCCGCTTCGAGGTGCTCAGAAACCCGAAAAACATCTAGAATCACGTATGGGATCGGCAAATAAAAATAAATTAGCATTAACAAGCAAGTCTTACCTTTGCCATTATGAGATATCTTGTCCCTCTAACAGTAGCACTCTGTCCCGGTCAACCCATCCAGCAACAAAAAAACAAAAAAACATCCAGGCTTTTATATGCTTTTAAGTCAGCTCCAGTGTAGGGGGAAACACCATTAATGACATAGTGGTATAAGTCATGTGGCGTGAATTCAGGCAAAGTTAGCATTTTGATCAAATCAACAAACCCGACGTCCGGAGGGAGAAGATACGGGTCGATTTCTATCTAGCTWTGTCCAACTTCTGTAAATAATGCTGTCTGTGAGCCCCAACTAGGTGTGCGACTTCCACAGATAAATTATCTAAACTTGAACAAGTGGAAACCATGGCAAAAATTAAAAAAAACAACTTCAAAAAACAATCGCTGCCATTCAATTCAATACCCCGCTCCGTGTCTCCTGCCGTCCGACATGCTGGCATCACGTGACTTTGTCACATGGGTGCAAAGGGTCAATACCAGATCTGAGACCGCCTCGCTCGGCGGTACAGAGGTAATGCAGAGGTAGGTGTGTCGTTTGCTGCCTCAGTGTGTCTTCTGAATGGACCTAGGTGGTCTTTGACGTCTGCTCAAATCAACAGTTAAAATGTTGGACACAGTTGGATGTTCCAGCAGGACAATGATCACAAACAGCAAAAAAGCTGTTTCTGATTGGATAAACCTGGCTAACACTAAACTTCTGGAATGGCCTTCCCAAACCTTCAACCTCAATCTTATCAAAACTTTAGGGGCTATGCTTAAAAGCCAGATCTGTGACAAGAAACCAAGCAATTTAAATGAGCATTACCAATTTTACCAAGAAGAGCTGTCAAATACTCAGCCAGGATTGTATGAAAACTTGTTGATAAATACAAAAAGCTAAGATGAAACTTTCTAAGCAACATTAAATTAAATATTAGTGAGGGTGTTTGTATATAGTGTTTGATCTTGTGAGCATCAGAGAAAATCTGCAATAAATATGAACTTGTACACCAAATTATCTTTTTTTAAACTATCAACGTTGATTGATGAATAGCCATTGCACTTTAGAAAGAGGAATGTTAGCCTTAATTAATCGTTAATAAAAAGTTACTTAACCTTGAAAACATCATTAAGGATGATTCAGACTTAATAAACTATGAATTAACACATTTATTAATGTTTTACCCATAAAGGTTAATTACTACCAAAATCAGTAT